TTCTGCTTCAAACAAGTCATCTCCGGCAAGAATTATTTTTGGTCGAAAAATCAAAACTTCTCCAAGCAGATCCAAAAGGCAGTTGGACACATTTTACGGGGGGAGGTGATAGGATCCCGCATAAAATAGTATGTCATCATTTCTCACGCATATTGTGATTGCTTACACGATCAATAATTTCTCACAAATGTTCACCGAATTTTTTTAATGGGCGCTAGTCAGTAACTAGTGTAATTTGTATGTCTAGCCCTATCTTCGGTGCAGACTGAATTCTATCAGTCATGTTTGCAATGTGGCCACCATTCTCGGTACCTCGACATCATGGCGCATTGTGAATTGTTGGTATTCGAAGGTTGGAAGGATCCGGCAGGAAGCCTTTGACCTAAGTTTCGTGCTAGTTGGCACTCATCAGCAAGGTGTGACTGCAACCACGAAGAAACTCATTTCCCTTCTGCGTTTCGAAACCACAGGTTCATTAATCCATAATTTTTCGCGTATTAACTTACTTTTAATTACTGCCTTCGTGTTCACTGAAGTAAATCTGTTAACATCGCTGTATATCATATCATATCATCTCATATCACTGAATATTCAACTGTGTTGTAACATGCATGCTTCAGTCTATGATTTCATCCTGTAATACACAATGGAAGATAGTGTTAACAAATTTAATTTCTCAAGGTATTTTGTAATGTAGATGGATGGATGGATAGATTTGACTACAAACTAATTCATCATTATTTGTTGAATACTCTTGTCAAATTTGAGTAATTTGTCTAGTTCTCGATTGATGGATAGATAAGATACATAAATAAATGTTTTGTCAATAAGATAAATGATTACAAAAGAAGCACACGATATTTGACAACCATGTACACACTGAAAAAACGTGTTTGCATTATTGATTGAGATAGATAGATATCTAACGCTACCATCCGAATTTGAATGGTTTAATGTCTGCCTTTACTTATGATACTGTACCAGTGGTTCAGTGGTAGAGTACACGCCAGTCACTCACATGTTCCACGATTCGATTCCTTGACGATGCATCACTAAACTTCATTTAGCCGGTAGTAAACCCGGTAAAGAGGGATGATTCGACGCCAGCTAAGCAACCTCACCCTGTAGAAAGACACTACTGCTACTGAAACTTTGAAGACCAACTCTGAAGCCTGTATGTTCTACTCAGAATGCAGAGGAATAAAATAAATAAATAAATAGTATTCAGCTTCCATGTGTATTAACGCTTTATTTGAACTGATTTACTGTATTTTGAATACAGGATGATTGTGGAAGACAAGTGGTAGGAGGGGAATATTTTTTGTCATCACGTAGTGACTGGACAATTAATTCACTGTTGTAATAGACCTTAACTCTGTGAATGAATATCTGTATTGTTTTTCCCTCGCTATTGACTTGTTGATTACATACACCCTGTTGTGAACGAGCATTTTTACGATTTAACTGTTTTGATAACATGTGTTACTAAAATTCCGCGTGTGGTTATAACATATCACGTGGTTTGTGCATTGATAAATTGTAAATGATTCAGCGACTTGAATGAAGTAGCAGAGGGAGGACCTTTCAAGAATTTCATACAATGATTCCCTTCACAAATTCGAACAAAGAAAGAAGAAATGTTGTCCAAATTTATAAAAGGCAATCATTGTATGAAATTCTTGAAAAGTCCTCTCCCTGCTACTTCATTCAAGTCGCTGAATCATTTCTTGACCCAAAGCTGCAGAATATCACGCGAAGTTACTCGACTGAAATTTTATGATCAATGTCTACGCTCCTGCTGTTTCCTTCGTCAGTTTATAAATAGCCTTCGTTCTTGTAAACTTCCTCCCTCCTTGAGAAAAATCTCAGACGCTTAACAAAATCCAATACTGAATCGACGGAACGGCTGATTACGAAGCTGGCTCGTTTGAAAACACTGTCAGTGATTTAAACATCGTATGCAGAGTCAATTGCATAAATTTCATTCGAGATCTTCAGAACAAAACAAAACAAGTGAAAAATTCATCATGACCCTATCGAAGACATTAGTGAAAGAACAATTATGTGAAGGCTTCCCGGGAATCTCCGAAAAATATGTTATCAATCAGTCAAGTGTAAGACTAAATCAAACTGAAACCAAGACACTTTCACTCGGTTTCAAGATCCATGTACCGAGGAAATTTGTGAATCAAACAGACACAGAAGCCCAATTCAAGAATTTATTCAACCAGTTAGCCGACTTACATCCCGTTAGTGAGGATAAGAAAGGTTGGTTCAAATCAAGACCAGTTGAGATCTCTAACCAGTACCTGTGCTCACCAACTCAAGAGTCTAGAATGATGACGAAATAATACCGAAAAGCAATTAAACGTCTGCGCAACAATGAAGATATCGTCATACTGTGACCAGACAAAGGTTCAGGCGTGGTAGTGATGAACAAGGCTGAATATGTCCAAAAAATGGAGTCCATTCTGATTGACATGTCGAAATTTAAGATTGATAACTGTAAGAAGAATATGACGGATTCTGCAGAAAAGAAAGTAACGAAAGTACTCAGAGAGCTACTGAAAAACAAAATGATTGACAATCATACGTACAATGAGTTAAAACCCATGGGGTTCCGTCTACCAGATATGTATGGTCTGCCGAAGAAACAAAGAAAGAATTGACCAATGAGACCAATACTCTCAATGGTGAATTCACCCTTTCACAAAGCTGCTCGCTGGTTAGCCGATAGGTTAGAACCTGTCAGACAACGTCTAGCTAAACATACTCTAAAAGACTCACTCCAATTTGTTGAAGAGGTGAATCAACTCAATGTACATGACAAAATCATGGCTTCCTTCGATGTGACTTCTCTATTCACGCAGGTCCCTCTGTATGAGACATTAGACATCATCTGTCAACACTCTGATCTTCTTCCTCTACCAAAACTGGAATTTAAGCAGCTTCTCGTGTTATGTACTAATGATATACAATTCCAGTATAATGATACACAACAAAATGTATCGCCAAGTTGATGGTGTGGCAATGGGGAGTCCACAGGGCCCGACATTAGCTGGTATCTTTATGGCCAGTCTTGAACAGACAAAGCTCAAGTGTGCTATTGGTGAAACAACAGCCTACTAAAGACACTTTGTTGACACATTCATTGTATGCAGTGATTTGAGTCACGTTTCGTCTCTATTAGACTCGATCCACAATGTACACAAAAGCATCACTTTCACGATGGAGCATGAAGATGATGAAAAATTCCATTTTTTGGACGTAAAGTTGGAGAGAAAATACGACGGGACACTCGAAAGATCTGTATATCGTAAAGACACATGGAGTGGTCTTTACTTGAATTTCAACAGCTTCTGCCCAGTGAGATACAAACGAACGCTGGTGAAAACGCTTTTCTCTAGAGCGAAGAGAATATGTTCACCAAACAAACTAGACAGTGAACCAATGCTTCTTGAAAAATGCTTGAGAGAAAATGGTTACCCGCAAGGTTTCATAAACAAATATGTCAAGAATGAACTCAAGAAGCTTGATACAGCTACAGTCAGTAAGAAGCCTATTTTCATCAAACTCGACTACAAGGGCGACGACATTATGAGAATGGTAAATAAAAGATTAAGCACAGCCCTGTCTATGACGTATCCTGCAGTGTTATTAGTCTCTCTATCCCGAACAACCTCTTCACTGGTGCAGTCAAATATTGACAAGTACCCCTCACATGTTACCTCCAATTGTGCACACCAATTCACATGTATCTGCAGGAGCAGTTACGTTGGAAGAACAGAGAGGAGGGCCAACATCAGATTCTGCGAACATGTACCAAGGAGCCTCCAGTTAAAGGGACCGAATTGTTTAAGCTCTTCAATCGCTAAACACCTGATTGACACAGCACACCGAGTAGATGTGCTGGAATCCTTCAAAATAATTAACAGACAAAGTACCTCAAGTCTCCTCAGGTTTGTCGAAGCCATAGCAATAAAACGATTGAAGCCTGACTTATGTATCCAAAAAGAATCCGTTGTTGCACTTCAGTTACCCTGGTGACTCACTTCTTAGTAACTCTTTGTTTTCTAATTTTGTTAACTTATCTTTTCACTCCACCCTCCTTCATGTTTCGCTTGACTCTCTTAAGAGATAATTTTTCTTGATCTTCTGAGTTCTGCTCATTGTATTACATCATCACCTTCTCATCTGAAATCATATGCACCGAAATCCAAATACTCAATATTCCTATGGCATTTAATAAATAAGGAGAATTTTAATGAATTTGAAAGATGCAGAAAAGGGTTCTTTTCAGAAATTTTCATATAACAGTCTGGTACTTGATGAAACGCAGAAAAGATTGACAGTTATGAAAAAGGTTTAGTGGTAAGACATGATGTATCTGAATGTGAAGTCCTTATTAAACACCATGTGTTGCCAACCACACACGCACACACCCAAACACAGAGATAACAAATAACCCAATTATTAGAACAGAAAATATTTAAATTTATGGAAAAATGAAACCGTAAAATTAACAACACATTCCACATAACTCACTCACTTCAACATTTCGAAATAACTGCCATGTCACCTTGCTTTTGTGTATGTGTGTGTGTGTGTGTGTTGGTGCACTTTGACAAGTCTGTGTTTTCACTTTCGTCTCAAAGATCCGATTCACCATTCCACAGTTAACCAAGAAAATACCCCGCATATATACAATACACGAATAATAATAATAATCATTTCAGTGATATATAAATAATTCAAAGCGGCTAACTGACGTATTCATAAATTTAGGTATTTTTTCAATCAAAGATACATGATATGAAGAATTGAAGAGATTAACCATAATGCTCACACGTAATCTCAGAATAAACTGATGGCGTAAATTTCTCGAATAATAAAATGACAACGGAGTTATTCGAGAAAAGAAGAGAGTAATCAGTTTGAGCAGAAGTATGTCGACAAATGTGTATGTCTGTGTGCATTTCTACTTGACTGGCTGTTACATTCTACTTGTGAGCATGAAATTCGATATAACATACATCACTACTATTGTGATTAGTAGTATCAGTTGTTTTATTAGAAACAATGGTAGCCGTAATATTAGCACTGATAGTCTTAGTGGTATTAGCAGTAGGACAAGAAGAAACAACACTAGTGGAAGTTGTTGTAGTAGAAATATTAGTGAAAGTATAATTAGTAGAGGGAGTGACAGTATTGCTATTATTATTATTATTATTACTGGAATTAGATGTAGTTTCGGGACGGAATCACATCACTCTAATTTCAGTGGAAATCAAAGCAATGAGAGCATTATCTCTATCTATTGTAATTCAATCACTGTCAGCCTAATATCTCCGAATTACGGATATCCTGTCAATGATCGTAGAAACTGATTCATCAGACATATGTGCAAACCATAAGATTTCCTCAAGAGATAAATTCACACATCACACTGTGTTCTTTGCTGAGGATAATTAATACAACTAGCAATTTTTCTAGACAATCTCGCCTAGTTTACTGAACTGCAGTAACCTCGAAAAATTAGTGAAAGCTGGGCCGACGACTGACGAAATCACTTCATAAAGACAGCCACATCGCTAAGGAAACAGGAAGTATTTTTCGGGTAGATGCGTGTTGTGGCGTATTCACTTGTCATCTGAAAGAGTAACCACGCACTGGGAGCACTGGGAGCAAGTCATTTAAGCACATGTACAATGAATGACTTCAATTTCAGACAACGAAATGAGAATCAAGCGGGTAATTCTCTAGTATAGTCTATCACATTTGACTATATTCCAAATTGATCCGATTGAATCAACATATGTATATATATTTCGAAAGATCATAATATTGGAGACATTTATGAGTTGTATGAGTTGGGAGGTTTACCTGAGATGGCTTCTTTATTCCATACAATACCATACCACTTTGAATAACTTTTGTTGGAAGAGACGGGAGGTGACAAATCTAATGGGAAAACAGAAGGCACAAGACTCGGGAGCCGAGGTATATTTTCAGGTGATCAAACCGGTATTTATATAGATAGATACAGTTTCATATTCTCTAACCACTAATTGAGTGTGTGTGTGTGTTCCAGGTTACATTAAACCACACACAAAATAGAATGTTTAATTATACACATAGTATTCTTTCCCAACGCAGTATTGAACTGTGAGAATAATATTCTGACTCTAGCACCAAACAGAGTGTTTAAACACATATTCATGAAAAATCTCCATTCGAACATTGATAGACAGAAGACCAGTAAGTAGTTCAGCAAAGAGTCTCTTTTCGCCGGCGAATTCATTTTCATAGCTGTGCAATCACAAATATATATGGTTGTTTTGTATGAGTGTGTGTACATCAAATTTGTCAAAGGAAAATACACTTAGTAAGTAAGTTCGGATGAACTGGATGTTGATATATGAGGCTAGTAACAAAAGTGACGAGTTGTCACAAACGATTGTTAAGGAAGAATTACGTGATAACATGAATAGTTTGATGAAAGAGTTGTGCTCAGGGTGTACATGGAAACAAAACACATACGGAATTCCGTAAGAGTTTTAAGTGGCTAGAAAAATAAGCATACAAGCAAGAGTTAAGTCGAATCAACAGAGTTGTTACCATGATAGTAGAAGTGGTTGAATAATTTTATTTTGTATGCATAGTTCTGGTTCTTCTAACTGAATGGCTAGGGCTTCTGCAATGCAAAGAAGACGGAAACCTTTTGTCTTTGCAGGTTGTTCTTCACTTTGTGGATTACTTTGAAGCAGGAGGCGTTTGTTGAGATGGAATGACCAGTGGTGACGAGATATTCGATTATTGCACTCCTTATACGACCACTACTTCCTTTCCGCAGCCACGCTGGATAGTGTTCTTTGACCCTTTTTGACGGGTTTCGCGTCGGATGACCGATGTACCTGGCACCACAGGAACAGGCGAACTGATATACACACATAGAAGTGGTCACGTGTAAGATTTTGTCCTTTGGGTCTCTGCAGATCAGCAAGCGACTGGAGAACACTACTCTCAATGTTTCCGCAAAAACCGTTCTTCTTAAAGAAGCCGAATTTCTCCTCCTAGGTACATCACTGAGTAGGTCACCTTTGAAGTTGAGGTTCGTATAGAGTATGTTTTTGGCACGGATGGCGTCTCTTGTTATTGGATTTTCTGTTTAATGTTTTTGTCTATGAATCTTGATGGATATCCGTTTTGTATGAAGATTTTTTGAAGAAGTGTAGTTGTTTCATGGCATCAGAGCTGCGAATGCGCCGAACGCATGTAGCAAGAGATCTAATTAGGTCCTTATTTTTCGACTGATTGATACCCAGCTGTAGAAGCTTGTCAGTTGACCGTTCCATGTGGGCTTCCTATGGATGGGCCTTCTTGAAGTTCCTTCAACTCTCCTTGTATGTTCAACATCAAGAGAAAGGAATTTTAGAATCGTTTTCAATTTCAAGAGTGAACTTTGTAGCTGGATGGCAGTTGTTGAATATTTGTAGTAACTGATGAAGATCGCGACGATCATCACAGATAATAAATATGTCGTCCGCCTATCTGGCATACAAGTGGAAATTATCAATAGTTGGTTTGAGTGGGCCGTTCTCGTAGTCTGCCATGAAGCAGTTTGATAGCAGTGGGCCCAGCGGCGATCCCATTGTGATCCCATATTGTTGTCTGTAAATAACATCGTTGAATGTGAATTTTACATTCAGTGTACATCACAGAAGTAGTTCTTCTAAACAAGTTGTCGGTAATCCAATGTTCAGCTGGTTTTCGTCTGTATACTGACAAATGTGACAGAGAGTTTCTGTGAATAGAACGTTGGTAAATAGCGACTGAATGTCAAGAGACAGCATATTCTTGTTCTTTACATTGATATCTTGTATATACTCGACGAATTGAAAGGTGTCACGAAGCGTATACTGGCACATCTGTTTTCGTACAGGTTCTAAAATGTCAGCTAACCATTTCGATATTGAGTGGTACGAGGAACCTGACATATCTGAAATTGGACGCAGTGGGAGGCCGGCTTCACGTATCTTTGCTTAGCCATGTAGTCTTAGTGTTATTTATCCAGTCGGTCGAATCTGATCGTAAACTTCAGAACTGAATAACTGTTTGGTTTTCATTCTTTTCAAGACATCAGTGAGCTGCTTTTCAGTCTGTTCTGTTTTATTTCTTTCATTGAATGGTTGAGAGAATTTCGTTCTATCTGACAGTATGTTTTTCATTTTCTCTATGTAGTCTTTTCTGTCCATAAGGACTACGCCAGCTCCTTTATAATCTGGACGGGTTATTAGGAAATGTTTGCTGTTTCTCAATTGATTTAATTCTTCTTTATGCTGTTTTGTTAGCTGGTTGTAGACTTTTGGTTTTGTATTCAGATATTGTTAACAATAATCGAATATTGTTGATTTGAATCGCTGTAGTTCCTGTTCAGAGATTTGAGTTGAATCATTTGTTTGCGTAATTAGGTTTTCAGATTGTACATGAGTATGAAGTCTGTTGGCATTTAGGCTGATGTCACAAAATTTTCGACCCATGGATAGGGCTTTTGACTGCAAGTCGGATGAAACAACTGAAGAGCATAAAACATTTACTTCCCGATACGAATTTAAAACAACCAACAAAGAGGTTGATAAAGCAGGATTTAATGAATTCATCAAATTTCGGTAGAACTCGTCAGGTGAATACTCTACATACACGGATATATATATACTTTCGGAATTACATTGGGAGATATAAGACTGATAAGTAAATAAACCACATTGACTTGGCAATGCAGAAAGACAGGTGCGAATGTTTTCCAGGTCATGTTCAAATAGATAAGGGGAGAGGGAGTATGAGAGATCAAAATTAAAATAAAATGCATTACGCTTCAATTACATCACTTAGATAAACACTTAGTCATTAGAGAATATAACAAGAATTGCAAACAGAGTAATATCAGTAGTAATAATTATTATAACAATAACAATAATAATAATGTTGAAGTGAGTAAAGATAATGCTACTGATAAAGGATAGTTTTAAATGAATCAAGAATAATAATAATGATAGGTAGAATAATATATAAAGCGTATTTCTATTGTAGATTCAGAGTGACGACCATCTACTTTTGTACACAGAGACCTGGTTTATAAACTCGAATCACACTAGCCTCTGCAATTGCAAGCGTCTACCTGCTTCTTTGTCTGCTGACAATAGTGAATAACTTGACAGCGTCGACATCATGTCCAAAGTCCACAAGATGTTTTGTTATTGAGGTTTTTGACACTTTGCACTTATCTGTTTTACAGCCATTTTGGCAAATGCTCCATCATGCGAGTAGACAATCGCCTTTCTGTACGACCTCTGTATTTGCTTCCACAAACACACTACATGTTAACAAGAATTACTGATCTCGTCCCGAGTATTTGTCGATAATTAATCATATATATTTGTATTTCAGCCAAGCAAACAATTTTTCCTGCTCTCAATTGCCTCGAATTTATTCCAAATAATCTCTGTTCCAACCTCGTCTTGTTCACTAGTTCGCTAGATGACTAGCCTGTCCCAAGCCCGGGTAAAGAGAGAGTGTCATGTGTGGTGCTAGCGAGGATACCCCATTAAACCAGTCAAACTGCTACAGAAACTTCAATGTGTAAAACATACTTTGAAAATACAAAAATATAAAAATGAAACGTATTTTCCTCGGGAAGCCCGACAGCCAGCCAGTGTGTCTTCTCCCGATGAAAAAAGAATAAGAGTATCGACGTGGAATGTTTTCGCAATGTACGCGATTAGAGGGGCTACTCAGGTAGACAAAGGTATGAGAAGATAGGGCACAGAAGTGTTGGATATCTGCGAGGGCAGATGGAATGGATGTGGACTGTTAAAATTGTCAACTGTCGAGTCAGTAATCTAATCTGCTCTGGTCACCCAGTGGCAACCACGAGCACACTGAGGCAGTGAGTGGCTACAATGATGACATTAGTGGCAGCTGCAGGCCTGATGCATTGTGAACCAATCTCCCCCTGAAGGAGAATGACAGCAAGATTCAACTCAAAAAGGAGGAATGTCACAATTATCCAATGCTACGCACACTGCTACAAACGACGCGGAACAAGAGAAGGTAGAATTTTGTAGACGACTGCAAACAGTAAAGGACTTCGTCGTTAAATAGAGACGTCAAAATCCTTATGGGTGACATGAGTACAAGCCAAACTGGGAGCAGATAATGCAGGAAGAGAACAC